TGGGGGGGGGGGGGGGGACAGTCCCTTTCATAATTTTGTCCGACTCGATGCTTCTGAGGTTGGGTACCGTTTGTTGACGTTGCTGCCGTTGCTGTAACATCGACTCTCGAAAGATAAAGGATGGACGAGAAAAAGGAGACAAAGATAACGTAATTTGGTCAAATTTGAACATCCGGCGTATATGGACACGAGAGTTCTCTTGACGTTTACACAGTAATTAACTCCACCACACCCACGTCTTTGTCACACCACGCCCCGAAGTTGGCTGCAGTCGGTTGGCGCTCGGTGGATCTTATTCAGGAGTATCCTCCTAGGGTCACGCATAAATATATCCCCAGCATTGACGTGCAGGCGTTCAGGAACTTTACCAGGTCTGCCTCTGTCTTCCGTCTACAAGGGTGGTCACTGAAAGGGAAACAGTGTTTTAGACCTTAGAAAAAAGAAACTGGAAACACCTATCGGTCCTTCATTTTCGAAAATCGTAACACAAAGTTTCATTGTGGTGGATTTAAATTTCATTCACTCCCCACCTTGTTTCCACAAAAACGTTCTGTTTTCGCTTCTGTTGCTCTACGTGTTACCCTATTGGTGTCTAATTGGGGGGCTGGTCCTCAGACTACTATCCCAGTTGAGCTAAACCGCCAATTAGCACCCTCCCGATAGAGACGGCTCTGGTGTATCCAGACGGTGGCGCCCTGAACGGATGAACTAAAGAGTGCACTTGAGCTTCTGAAAAAATTATTCTCTTGTGTTATCGCTCAAGTGACGCTGTTGTGTTACGCTTGGAAGAAAGTGTTGATGGGACTGAAGGACGCCATTGTTCGAAAATGTTGAGTCAAGACGGGATCACGGATTATTGTAAATTGAACTACACGTCCTGCGGACGTTACCTCTAAAAGGAAAACGCTGTACCATCTACGCGGTGTACGAAGATCCCGACGTCCTATGACGTCATGAAATTCCAAAATTTTTTGGATTCGACAATTTTTATTATAATTTTTTTTTTTACCCATTAGACGATTAGGTGATTTTAATTTTACTCAATAAAATTTTTTTCATTTATCGTTATCGTACTTTTTTTTTTTTATCGCGATAGCGTAACGATCGTTATCGTTCTTCATGGATAATTACATCTCGGAATTGCAGCCGTTATTATACAGTAGTTCCTGCGTTACCCGCGTCGCGTAAAGTGAACGCGTCATTATGCACGCACGTACGTGTGGTACAGTTTATGCATAGCACGCTATAGTACTTAGTCGACGGTGCCATTAAGGTGGAACGTATTAATGATGCAGGCAATGATGCTGGAAGGAATGACCACCCGTGGGCCCTGCTGCACTAATAGTGCATCCTGACCGCTTGACTATTCGTTAAATCGCTTCCTGCATACGTTAGGCCGACGTCTGTCGCGCTATCATATATCAAGACTCGGTACATGATTTTGTGCGTCAGATTTTATAAAAAAAAAAAAAAATAATTTTCCCTCCCCTTTTTCAGTTTCTCTATGACGCTCTTAGGCGAGCTGTGAGTATAGGAGAAATTAAGAAAGAAGGAAAGGGGGGTGTTTCGGGTTATTCGGGTAATAAGAATATTCAATGATTTTTTTTTTGTATACGTGACACACACGTGTGAGTAGTCACATTATTTTTGTATATCGTGGGAATGAGGAATGGAGGTAGAATAATTAAGAGGGAAAGGTAGAGTGGTGTTTTATTAATGGTAAAAAATTTAAATTCATAAAATAATTTTACGCCGAACTCTCGACGTGGGCGTGTGTGATTTATGGACTAATTTATTGATTTCATATTAAGTACTTGTAAATTTATTTATTGGATGCATTTCAATGTCGTACTTGAACCGGTTGTCGATACCTGTATAAGGTTTTTTTTTTCTGAAAAAAAAAAGTTATTAATCGACATCATACGTTTTCTTCTTTTTCAGGTGGTTCTGCCACTTCGACGACGACAATTACGTGAACGTGCCGCGATTACTGAAACTCCTGGACAATTACAATCCGCGGGAGGATTGGTACCTCGGTAGACCGTCGATTCCAGCGCCATTGGAGATCGTACGGCAGGGCCCGGAACCATCGAAGCGACCCGTGAGTTTTTGAAGACAGCCATTATTTTTCTTAATTTCACGACAATCTGGCTATCGGCAGTCACGATCTCACGGGCAGTCACGGTTATAACTGAAAATCATGTCAAAAAGAAATCTCATGCGTAATTTCAAGGATAATCGAGGACGCGGTCATCAACGTAAAGTGGTCCTACTGTCAGAAATGCGGCAGGTCCCGCGTCCTCTTCCCCCTTACTGTAATATGGATAAATTATAAATTCGAGGACGTATATTTACGAGGTACACGTCGCGATATAATCATCGACCCACAGCATCAATCAGTGGAATACGTCGATCTTATCATATACGTCTGCCACACCGGAGTCATTAATCCTCGCCTCCGTAAGGACCGAAAATAAACTAACCCCTCTGCGTCTCGAGTCATCGTAACCGCCATATATCCAGAGATACACATAGCGACGCAACCGAGGACATCAGGTACACGATTATTGTGAAGTAAACGAATTTTCGTGATTTGGTTACCCAATTCATAATTAAAGAAAGGCCCATGTTCATCTCGAAAGATGCCAAGATGCTGACGAATGATCTAAAACGATCTGTTTGGTTATGTACATTTTTTCTTGTTCGTCTCTCTCAAAGTCAGATTTACATTGCGCCACTCCTGGACATCCCGAGGATGTACCACGTCAAATGAGTCTAATCTCGTTGAGAATCTGCCGTTTAAGCGGCCGAGTCCGGTGGTTAAGAACTCCTGGCTACGTTCGTCCAGGTGAAAGGTGGAAGGCGAGGCAAGTAATGTTTGTCGGACATTTAATATGAAACTCGTTGATGATTTGCGGTAACGTCCTTCGCTTGTCGATGTTCGCTGCCAAGGAAGCAGAGGCGAGGCTGAAAGTCGTGTCTGGTCGAGACCTCGGAAGACCAGGGTGTGGTCGCGGTTCGCTGCCGTTGCTATCGTTATTGCGGATTAGGTTAGAAGATTCCTGGAGATTTATCTTGCGGGAGGTCGTTTTAATTTCCTGGATGCTCTCGGGGTCCGAGGATTACAGTCAAGTGGCCGGCAGGAATTCCAGGACGGGACGATCGAGCTCGCTGTCGCGTAGATTGGTCTGTCCGGGAAAATAGAAAATTTTTCAAAATTCCGTTAATTAAAAATTTCCACCATTTAAAAACGTGGGTTGAATGTTATTAATTAATATAACGGGTATCCACCTTACGAAGATATCCCACCAGCATGGAGACTTACGTCGAGAGCCGAGACGCTGCAAGAATATAATTAACCGTGCATTGGAAACGGAATCAATCTGTATCGTTACTTTGCATTTTTTTACCTTCTTCCTGGGCATAATTGCACGAGCATATTGCACCACGCCTCGGGTGAAAGGTGCCTGCGGTGGTAAAAGAGAGTGTGCGGATAAACGGCATAGCAATATAGTCGACATTATACATATGTCTGTATATATACATTCGGAACGGGTATTGAATTCCCGTATAAGACGATCGCGCACCGATAACCTATCGATGAACTGTGGAACAGGAACTTATTATTGTAGGTTAGAGTAACGGAGGCCCCACCCAGGGTTGCGGTTTTACAAATGAAAATAGTAACGATCTCTTTGGACTTACGGGCGTAACGATACAGCAGATCGACGGGTATTCGAGGACTTTCGAATTAGGGTGCCGTCCGCAATGTAGATATTACTCTTGGAGGAATTGTTAACCAACAGTAAGCGACGGACGAACGTGACTACAGTGCTCCCCATCGGTAAGGATGTCGTAAGCCGCTGGTCGCCGACACGCCTAACCAACTTGAATGGCGGCATTGTTGTCGAACGGAATAGCAATCCCCATTACTAATGGTGTATACTATCCGATAAACGCAACCGTGCACAAGAATAGCCATACACCGAGGACTCCTCGAAGCTCAACGAGATTCCACGGATAACAACATGGCGTGATGACGGATTTTTACGCGACGAGATCTTCCAAGACCATTTACGTCCTAGAGTTACCTCTCATTGCTTTTTCCTTTCATTTTTATTTATGGCTGACTCCTACGGCGCGTCGTATACGTTTCCACGCAGTCTTTCTCTTCGTACTTTATTTCTTCGTCGCGTCATTCGCGTCGACTCGACGAGTCGGTGTTATTGTTATTGTCACGGCCCGATCGCGGGCTCTCGTATCATTTCCAGCCGGCATAACGCATCGGTCGTTTCTTTTATTATTTCTCGACCGGAATATCGAGAGCTGCACTCCGTGATTTCTTGCGAGTCAAGAAGAAAAGCGGACTCGAGACGATTTCATATCGCGTCTCTAGGTACTACGTCGAACTAGATCGTCGGCTGACGACAGTCGGATGGTCTCGGTCTTCCTCGGGTCGTTCCGTCTCGGCTCGTGTCCCCTCGCCGGCGCTCGGGGCTATTCGGTACGATTCTAAAGACCTATGCGTGTCCCTGCAACTGGGCCAACGCCACTCACTCGCCACTCAAGTCTATGGTCTCAGCGCGAGAGGTCGTACGTCCCTCGGGCGACTGAGAATATTCTACGGTAAACCATAGGTGGCCGCTTGACGTAGCTCCGACAAGCAACTGCCGCGGGAAGGCAGTAAACCTCCGTCTTCCAGCAGCAATATTAATCACTCGGCTGCCGAGAGAGGCCAGCCCAGCAGTTCCTGCCAACCCAATGGACTTAACGTTCAAGCCTCTCGTCCATGAAATACGGCCGGTTTTATTAAAACGATCTACTATCGCTGTCCCGGTATACATATACTCGTGGCCACCATTGGTCTCCACGACCGATTACCTTATGAACGAGAACAGCCTTAATTGAGAGACTTTCAACCGTGTTTTTTTTTCCCTCTTCTTTCGCATTCGATTTACGCAATTTGGACGGTGGGCGTAGCTCGTCACTCGTACACGTGTACTACGTTGCTCGTAATAATTGTCTGTTCGACCCAAGGCATCGTATCCAGGGCTGTGTTAGACGCGTAAATTTAAATTTCGCGGGGACCAAGCCCCTAGTTACGAAATCGACCGCATTGGCGCTACTTACAATTTTATCAAGAAGACCCAAGGAAAATTGCACTTGTACGTTGCGGTTTGTACGCATACACGCGGATGTGCACCACATGTCAGGCATTCCGTGGTCGCACTTTTTTTTTCCCCCCTCTTATTTAATGAGACTCGCATTTCTCAGCCGTGCAGACACCGTCGATCGTCTTCATCGTCGTATGGCTGTAGTCGCCAGGATCCAAGATGCACCACTGTACCTCAGCATCCCTACTGCATCCCGATGCACCGGTATGGCTTTATGGGGGCCCCTCTGCGGTTTTGAAACTCGAATCGATCGTCAAGTAATAACCATGTATCATAAAGAGAATTATCTCGAGCGGTCCAGCCGCCTTGGTTGCTTGTGCGCTCGTTCGTTTCTTGGCTACCATCTCGCTGCCACTACACAATCAAGAGAGAAAGAGAGAGAGAGAAAGAGAGAGAGAGAGAGAGAGAGAGAGAGAGAGAGAGAGAGAGAGAGAGAGAGAGAGAGAGAGCAGAGCCAAAGGAGATAGAGAGAAAGAGAGAGATATGACCTATAGAGAAAGAACCGGTAATTGCGAGAATCGAGGGGAACGGAGCAATTATTTTCGCCGTGAAAAGCTCCTCTCTCTCTCTCTCTATGATCGTTCCTGATCTTATTAACCCTCGCTGCAATTACTAACCACGGCGACTCTTGTTTCCGAATTAACGGCGAAGAGTCGCGGGACCCCGCTTCTTGAATAATTTAATAACTGGCGTATCTTTTTCTCATCGATCCTTCTATCTTCTTTACGAGGCTCCGTATAGCCAAATATCGGCCTACTTAAACTCTTGATCGAGCAGACGTTCTGCAATGTAAGAACTGGTCTTGTCAGTTTTCACACGTCTCTGTAAATTTCAATGCATACTTTTTTTAAATCCAAGTCACGCCGCTACTCCTTCCGACGTCGACGCCTTCGCGTTACCCTTAAGGCAGCGCCTGGTACGCGTTTTCAGTGCGGGCTCATCGGTTGAACGGGGTTAGAAAATACTGGCAGTCCGCGCGATATTATCGCAATGGGATCGTCTTCCTTTCGGTGTGTCGTAGCACCGGCTCTAATTGGTTTTGCATATAGCCGCCGCATACCGTGCATTTCGCTCGATCTGCCGGTACCGGGTAACGGCGATGCTGGCGCCGCGGAGAAGTAAGGAACTGAAAAAAGAGCCGAGGTTAAGATTGAGAGAATAAGAAGAAAAAAAAAGAGGTTAAAAGAGAAGAAGAGCTCTCGAAGGAGAAAATTGCCGAGAATGCGCTCGCCACGGTCTCCGTATGGCGTGAGTGCACCGATGCAACGGCGAGTTAAGCTAATTGCGTTAAGATAATTAAATCGGGAGCGCGATTCGCGTAATTGTCCGGCCCCGGAGCGGCTTTTCGCCACAATGGCTGCCATACGGTTTCCCTCCTCTGGACCGCGCTGCTGTCCGTAGGCGGATACTTTATATCTTGCTTGGAGATTTACGAGGAAGGAAAGCAGAGCGCCGGCCAATTAGCGAAAGTCCAACGAGCGTCGCTATAACAGCGAGTGTCGTGAATATTTTGCAAATATTTCTTGCGTTTTCCAAAGGCCGCCTTTTTTCTTTTATTCTCCAAATTCATCATACGCAACTCGAAACGCGTCCCTGACCTTCCAACACGTGGGAACGACGAACTTGTTCGCGAATAAGATCCCTGTCATATTATTTAATTAAAAAAAAAATAATTCTAACATCAATTTCCAGCTGCCTTTAAAAGTCCTATTAATGTAATTTTTCATAAATTAATTACTCTCCTAGAAAATTTTTTTATCCGATAATTACCACCTATCGATACCCGTATCCCGTCTGATTATCGTATATCCATTCACAATTAACCCCTTCGTACCCCCTCTGTACCACAGCCCACAAGGCACCCGCAAATAAAAAGCTCGAATTAATAACACCCTGCTAAACTCGAATGCCCCTATGACGAATGCACACGCACCTGAGAAGTCATGCAGGTGCTTAAAAGCGATTAACATCGAGACATGAAATATGGCGAATAATCGAAAAATAAAAAAAAAAAATCAGAAAACCCAAGAATGATTAAAAGAGTAGAAAAAAAAAGTTACCATCAGAATGGTAACTCACGTATAAGACAGAGCGAAGCAAAGCCAACAATAGGAAAGAGGAAGTCGAGACGATAGGGTAGAAAAGGAGTAAAGTGAAAAGGACAAACCGAAGAGCCGTCCGTGACCCGCAACGGCCTCTGTATTCGCGGAGCTGCCAATGGTACGTACGTAAGTTGGCCGAAGCCCCCGGACCCCGTTCCTTCCCCGAGGGCCACGTACGCTCACCTCCATTACTTCGATATTATTATACGGCCGCGCGATGCCGCCTATCTCTCGGGTACCATCTTTGTTTTTCACTGGCATCCGGTGCACCGCAAACTATCTCTCGCAATCTTGCAGTCTAGTTTGCTTCGGATGGGTGCCCACGGTCCATACCACTTCACCGGTCTCCCACCTCGTCAACATCATCTTCGTCCCTGCGCACCTCTCCCAGCCACCGTCCACACGAAGACCTGAAACCCAACGAAGCACAAAACATATCGCGAGTCTGTTTACATAGTATATGCCACGTACAATTTTTCTCTCTCCCAACAAATTTAACCCACGCCAAAGTCTACCCAAGATCCATCTCAATGGTAACCGGGTGGACGAAGGTCGATTAAAAAAAAAAATGTTTCCTCCTCTCACCAATTGCCAATCCCGACTGCGTCCTTTGCTCTTCTCCCCGAAGACTATCGCGCAGCCCTGCTGCATTTGCATGCGGCAGACACGTGGCCGTCCATGCGCGCAGCAAAGTGGTTTCAACTTGTGCGGCCACGACAAGTGTCCTGTCTATTCAGCATCCCTTCCTCCTGTCAGGAATCCTCGTATTCGACTGGCAAGCCTGCTCAAGTTAACTAGCTTCGCAGTCGGACCGTAAGACGCAATTGGTATTGCGAGTTAACTGCGTGCATGTGGATTAGCCTTCGAGTCTCTGCGCATGCGCAGTACTTTATTAGTTACCTGGCGCGCGGAAGTAGTTTCACGTTCAATAAAATCCCCGATTCACTGTCGGTTGGGGTAGCTCCGTACCCCAAGGTCTTTCGTCGTCGGTTCAAATTGAACCGCGAGTTATCTGCCATCTGAAGTGAGCTGCGGGACACGAGCGAAGTTTGGGTCGCAGCGGGAATCCGATTTCTCGACGTTACAAATACGTCTGCGTGCAAGTTCAAGTCGTAGGTTTTTTTTTAAAAAAAAAAAAAAAAAGTTACCTCAACCCGTAGGACTCTTCGCCCCCTTTTTCTTTCGAAACGACCGGTGTTTGATCGATCGGCAAGATTTGTCGGACACGCCGTAGATCTCCATCGCTACTTATAACCTCAACCCTGTACCGTGCGTTTCATTTTGAAACTTCACGGCCGTCGGCAAGAATCGAACGGGAATTCGTACCCGATCGTTCTTCTTCGCTCGCCTCGGAGATTCTTCGACTGCGCCACTTGATCAACTACCATATCCCGTGTGTCTACTTGCGGTCACTGTCTTTACCCGAGGCTTTTAAACGGGAGTGAAGGATCGATCGCTCGAGTTAGGATCGTTTGGAATCGATCGGTTGGACAGTCCCGCGTCTCCCTGTTGTCGTAATCAATGATGAATTAGCGTGAACCCGTCGCGTTATTCACTTTGAGAATTTTATCGAAATCGTCGCCCTCTCTGTATACGATACTCAATCCTGGATCGACTGTCAGATTCATTTATTATCATTATCTGATTCATCTTAGACTCGGATCTGTTAATCGTGAACTCGTTTACTGATTTCTTCGTATTTTATTGGCTGTCTGTATATATATATACATATTATATATATATATATATATATATATTTCTTGTTGCAAGGTGTCGGATGCGTCTTTCCTAGGGGGTAGTTCAGTTCAGGTTCCTCCGCATCCGTAATGTACCGTAAGGTCGTATCTGTTGGTACGTAGACTCGTAGGACGGTATTTCTTGTTGCAAGGTGTCGGATGCGTTGATTCATCTTAGACTCGGATCTGTTAATCGTGAACTCGTTTACTGATTTCTTCGTATTTTATTGGCTGTCTGTATATATATATACATATTATATATATATATATATATATATATTTCTTGTTGCAAGGTGTCGGATGCGTCTTTCCTAGGGGGTAGTTCAGTTCAGGTTCCTCCGCATCCGTAATGTACCGTAAGGTCGTATCTGTTGGTACGTAGACTCGTAGGACGGTATCGGGTACTCTGATCTGTTCATTAGTCCTAATATACCAGCGAGCCACCCACTCTCCATCAGATTATTACCGAGTCATCCGCAGCGTTCGCGTTACGTTCACCTCGGAAATGGACTCCCCCTCGACGAGCTCGGACTTACTTCGTCTTCGTTCTATTCCTCTTCATTTATTTTTATAGATCTTCTCTTGTCCCCTCTTCCCTTTTTTCTTCTTCTTCTTCCTCTATCCCAGCTGACTGCTACTCCGCGACCTGACCCTTTCCAATCATTTTTCTTCTCCGATCTGGCTAACTCGCAATGCCATCTCTGCTCTCTGACTTCTTCGCATCAGATCGTCTGATCCTTTCTGGTCTCGTTAGCGCCGGATATCGCGATGACGAGTCACGCGTTTCGATACTTTTTTTTATGGAGTCTATACACTACGTGTATATATGCGTTTATTTCATTAGGGATTATAGGTGGGTATGGGGGGGGGGGTCAAAAAATTTTTTAATGAAAGAAAAATTTTTTTGGTTACAATTGCGGTTGATCGATTTTCAAATATTAATAGTCGGTCTAAGCTTGTACGAGAGATCGATAGATCTTTTAGGAATGATCGTTTAGCAGGCTAAAAGGGATCGATATACCAGATAGGATCGCGATTCAGAAGGATCGCTAAGCGATTAATATCTTTGGGTTCTTGTAAGATCCAAAAAACGGTATAGCGTTCCCTAATTTTGACCGTGTACCAAAGTGGGTGATATGGAGTGAATAAACAAAAACAAAAAGAGGAATTTCGAGAGATAACGAAAAGTCGAAAGATAGTGGAATCAAAAGTAAAATTTATATATCGAACCGGACCAATCAGAGATACGTAATTGGATATAGGCGTCCGTACACAGACCCCCAGGTTAGGAATGTAATTAGTCAGAGAGCCGAGCATAATCTTGGGTCCCCATCGATAGGTCCCTTCGTTACCGACCGAGAGATGAACGCGATTGCGCACCCCAAGATCCACCGATTACCAGTCGTAAATACGCTCACGATAATTAAAATTACTGACTGATTGCTCCGGCGTTCCCTTTAGCCTCCTGGCAGGTGCTGATCTTGCTCGCGAGATCCTTGCGATCGGGGTCCTCTTTCGATCTTCGATTTATACCGTGTAAACTCTCGTCCCATCAGACGTCAGGCTGGCAGCCTCGATCCGACAATCGGTCGCCCATATATTCGCCAATGAAAACATTGATCGGTCACGATCATTACCCGATCCGTGTTAACGATCGTACCCGTTGTACTTTAAGTACCAGCCAAGATCGTTAGATCCCCAGCATCCAGTGCCCTCCCTATATTCCCGTGGCGCATGCGCGCCCGCGATCATAATTATTAATTAACTCAACCGTAAAGATTCACGATAAACACATCCGCCACCGTCCTAGCCATCTTACGTCGTTACGCCGCCGTCTTCCATCACGCATTTTTATACGTCACGTCGGCTACTGACGCATTACTAACTAACCCCCGTATAACTACAGGACATCAACACACGTGTCACGATCGAGAGAAACACGCTGGACGTCTTGTTTCTCTTTAGATCCAAGCGAGTTTTACTTCTGATAGCCTCATACCCGGACCCACCCATCTTCGTTCAGTGTGATATATCCTTTAAGGTAGGACAATAATGATAACAGTAATAACCAATCGATCGCAAACGATCGATCTCTCAGTGTCCTTATATCTCTTATCAGGAATCCTTAAGTTTTACGTGTTAATCAAAATTTGACTTTATCGTACATATATAATTTTGTCAAGAATTCGTGAAAAACAAATTTTTTTTTTTTTACAAAATTCGTATTTTTTTTTTTTGACACTTCGAACGCACTCGATTACACTGACAATGGCTACCATTATGTCGTACTTATCGTTGCTAACGAGATTTTACTCCATTCGCAGACTTGTGTACTCACCCGTATGATTCTTGACTTACTGTATACGTTTCCTTTGAATCATTCAAGATACCACACGAGAGCCTCTTAAACTTAATTCAGTTTCTCACGAGTCGCCGTTACGTTTCACGTAGCTTTCGCGATTTGCGCCAGGCCTCTCGCATGCGAGTGGAACTTAAAGGAAAGGAAAAAAAATGAATACAAAGGTCATTGAGGACGCGCCTTGCCGTTGTATTCATTCGTAACAATAAGAAGAGAATACAAGGCGAAGCGTGACCCTTGCTTCGCGTATCCGTTGCGACTCGCATGCTGCTTCGTGACTCTGTACGTACATGCTACTTATACAGTTATATAAACAATGTATACATATATATATTTCTGCATACACAGTATGCGATTTAATGTTATTCAAACGGCCAAGTTGCTCTTATAAAGCCTGATACTATCAGCCCTTATCACCCGTGTATATCTAATGCGAATAACTCCCATCTTGCAGCAGAGAGGACAGTCACACCTTTTCCTTTGTTTCAGTCCAATTAACACGTATATATGCTGTACAAAGATTGCAAGGAAATGTTGATAATTGTTATCTAATTTCTGACGGTCCTTACGAAACGGCCATATACAGTAGAAAGAGTTTCAGGACAAAAAAGTGCATACCAGTAAAACCGAATAGGGATAATGTATAAAATTGATATTGAGAGAATGAAAAAAAAAAAAAAAAATGGTATAAAATAATCATGCTTACCGGATAGTAGATAAACAGTGATTATAGCGTTATTCTGTATAGACCGTTTGATGCTAGAGATCCGTATCTATATTGCAGCTGCTATAGGGTCATAAAATAACAAGTCGATATTCCTACGTGTAACGGGAACGATGCACTGGTTACCCGTGGAGATGGGTTTGTGTCCGTGCTAGAAGCCAGAGGTACGCACGATACGTAAGTGAGGTTAGGGTATAGGAGAGCAGAGACCGAGGGCGAAACAGTTTCCAATGGTGTCAGGACGAAACTGTTCGAAACCAAGGGAATGTAAACGGAGTGTTTCCCTATCTCTCTTTGCTTGCCGCTGTTGGATATGGTCGATGGTATCAGAGCCTGTTTAGCTCCTAGAGAACGTTTTAATAGTCTTAAAGTACAATCGCCACGAGGCTATCGTGGCAACGTGCCCAGTGCCGTGTCTATAGGGACGGGTTCGTAACTCACGCCGGGCTACGCCCCCGTGCGGAATAACAGAGAATCATTTCTAAAGGCGAGTCCACGGGTTGGCGAGAATGAAAGTGCGTAGGATTTTTTTTTCTTCTGTATATCGATTCTGGTACTGGATATGTATACGTTGCTGGCAGACATATCGGGTGACAATGAAACGATGGTTTAATTAGTTGGTTATTGAGAGGGAAGATAAATAATGAATTACGAGGTTAGGGGATCTCTAATGAACACGTAAGCAAGATGGCCGATCGTTTCGTGATCGGTTGGAATTATTGCATCAAAATCGGGTACCCCGGCGCGGACGATCGACAGTTCAGCCTTCATTAATCCGTCGGATGATTAATCGACCCCGTGTAGCCTGTGGCTTGAAGAGCTTACTGATAGTGTGTAGCGATACGTGTGTGTGTATTAACTAGAGATTGGAACGTAATTAATGCCTTATGTAATTATTTGATGCGCGTCCAATTTGTCGGGCTGGATTCTCCGCTCTGCTATGCCGGCTCTGGTAATAATCTCGGCACTGTGCTTTGTCCGTTGCAGCAGAAGGTGAAATTCTGGTTCGCTACGGGTGGCGCTGGATTCTGCATCAGTCGGGCTCTGGCATTGAAGATGATACCTGTGGCTGGGTGAGTTGACTGTCAATTTTTTTTTTAATAATTTTTTTACAGTTATATACTACGTATTCTCGACTGTTTGAAAAATAGCATCGTTCCAGGAACGATTTTTTTTTTCTCGATATATCCTAGCGATATTGGGACTGTCGAAGCACCAGTCGAATAAGGGCCCTATGGGTCGGGCGAATAATGGGACCAGGAGAATTTTTAATTATTTATTTTTTTTGTCCTTCTTCTTCCCTTGTACCTACGTTCTTTCGCACCCTTCCTTATAATTTTTTAATAGGCTCGAATCGGTAATGAAGATTAGATACGAACTGATCCAGAAATCAGGTCGAGAATTAATTTTTTTTTTTCTTGATCATCCGATTATTTTTTTTTTTGTTGCTTTTCTTTCCTTCCGCTTCTTTTCAGTAGAGGAGTCGGGCCAGTTTTTCTCGTGACTACCGTATAACGTATACACTCTGCTTCCTTCGTCCACCTCATTCTATGGCCTATGGGCGATCGAGAAACTTTTTCTCGACACACGTGGAAGAATCGTTGAACGATCGGTCACGCATAACACGCGTCCTTGTAAAGCAGCCACTCGCGCGCGGTCCGCTCGCGCTACGAAGCGTGAAAACGCCCATCAGTGAAGATCGGTAAGGCCCCTTCCTTCCTCATTCGACCCTTGAATCACGCTGGGTATTAAGGGGGCCCCTCACACCGAACCACCGCACCGTGTAATGAGCAGCATCGCTTACACGATCCGACGCGAACTGAGCATCCGTCCGTATAAAGGAAAAAAAACAAATCGTTCACTGGAATGCAGACAACTTGGATCACTTGGAACGACCTGTAGCAAATGAAAAACCGCTAAGGCCAAAAGAAAGTGTCACGTGCTGATTGAAACTTTAAAAAAATAATATTAAAAAAATACAAGACAATGATACATTTTTCTCGATCGACCATTGTACCGATCGTCACGTTAATATCCTTAAAATTTTTCCTACCCAGTTATCAACGCTTTGATCAAGTTCTCGAACGCTTCGGGCTTCTCTGTATGCGATTTTTTTTCCGTCTCGCGACCGGCATTTTGCTTCGTAACGTCCAGCCTCCTTATACGGGATTAGGGAGCAACTAAGGACAGACAAACTGACGGGACAGACGGACAAGATCTGGCAAAAAGCTCGGCACCTGGGAGGGCCTTTCGAATCGGTCGATTCCTGGTGCACGTTAGGTATATACTGGTAGGGACCCCCTCTGTATTCCTGTCAGCCCTTTGGGTATCAATGTTGTACCCTATATACTACCAATAGCCGTGTGTATAGTCGTACCTTCCAGCTTCACGCAATGCGTTGGCATGACCATGGTACTGCACCGTTTTCAGGGTAGAAAAAGAATTGGCGAGGCCAATAAAAAGAAAAAACACAAAAGGATCCACCAGACACGGCAAGTGCATTAAACCGCTTTCCCATTCAGGGACAACCGGAACCCATCGTCATCGGCCTTTTGCTTATTAATGCTATTCTACTTAGTGTCTGTCGTCGAGTTCAATTTTCCAGAGCGATTTTTACATCTCGACTTCGACACGTCTGTGCCTGTCTCTGGCGCGAGGAGTCAAAGGCCAAAATTCCCATGGTAAATAAAATCTAGTATGAATAGCAACGCTTTACTCACTCTGTGTCATATTTTATCGAAGTATCTCCTCGGTGTGGATTCTCACGGTATTCCGCAATTTTTTGTTCTACACACAACTTCGTTAATCACTCGCTTATCTGCTGCGTTAAGTTGGCAAGGTGCGCACATGTCTCAAGTTTGAAAAATTCATAGCCACTTCTTTAACTCGCGCCACCGACGCCGACATTCCAGCACTCTTGGGCTTCTACTCCCTTTCCCTTCGGTTACGCGCGGTAGACGCGGCAATTACGGCATCTCCGGATGCGCCGCTTCCTACGAGCGTAATTATCGCACGCACTCGAGCGACATAGAACTCCTGCGATCCACCGTTTTCTCACGTCGCCGCCATAACCCTGCTTGTCCTGTACCGAGAAACACGCGGGTACACAGATAGACGGATAGACAATGGCTATTTCGTGTACCTTCGTTTGTTCGCCGCGTGGCGGCGCTGCTGCAGGCTTACCGTGTAAGTACGAGCGTCTGACGTACCATGGAAACACCAGGAGAGTCTCGTTGACATTTTACGTAGTTTTCAAAAGTGCCCACGCTAATTAAATGTCGTCTGGGGGCCTTGGGACCCCGAGGCTATTGTGAGGACAAATTAAATTTAGATACTCGCCTCTCCGCTCTTTATTGCTGTACGTGCGAATTCATGGCCGTTCGAAGATGACTTGTGCGGTTACGCGAGGGGCTAGCCACGAGGTACGGCCACCCCGTATCGTATTAGAGGCCGATCGCGAGACAAAGCTGAATAATGGACGGTTCTCGGTTGCGCGGAGGGTCTTAATTAACCGCGAAGCAAGAAGCTGTTCGCCATAATGGGACCGAGACTAACGGCTGATTGCCGCCCACGTAACTATACGCATTGCTGGAACGTCGTTGTGCACTTAATGAATACGTAGGGAGTACTTAGGGCCCCGTTTACGGGATACTATAAGTTTCTATGTTGTCAGTCTTGAATTTTTAGTACAATTATCTACCACCAGATGGTACTGTATACGCTATTATTTATAAGTTTTTTTTCTGCATTCTTGTGGCTTCCTGGGCGCCCCTTGGCCGTCACGATTCTCCGCCGTGTTTACGGCCCTGGTATCGAGGAGCTACCTGCTCCCCGTGAGTATATATAAGTATATACGAAGATCGTAGAAACGGGAAGAGTTTTGTCGACTATTTATTATTCCTAAACGGTGCTGCACCTGCAGCTTTCTTTAGTTTCCTGGTGCACGCTTGATGCTTACTACTTATATATATATATACCTTCCTACTTTGAGTGTTCTTTTATTCCGGTTGTGAGATCGTAAGGGACGCTCACTGCGTGCTTCGTATTTTTCATTTGATCCCCTCGCGCGGCTACGTCAAATTTAAATATGTCAAAGCGCTGGAGGCGCCACCGCGCGAACGAGAAGTAAAATAAGAATGTGTTCCTGTGAGTCAGGCGACAACAAAAAAACCGTAATGGAAGTTGTCGGCTGCTTTTATCAGGTATTAAAAAAAAGTAATTTACTACTATATGATATACTTATACGTATTGATCCATAATTGTTATTCGTGTTGCATTTGGTACTGTATCTTGTCGGGGACTAATTGGTCTCCACTTGGCTTAAGTCAGATTACGACGCTATTCGGGGACTCACTTTGTCGTTGGCGCTCTCGATATATCTACATGTACATACAAGCCGTAAAACGTTGAAGAATTCACATCGTGTTACGTAACTGGTTGGTCGTGTATCCATAACGCGTCCGACGATACGGAAGTGACAGGACTCGTCGGTGTCTTTGAGGTTAATCACGCGTTTTTGAAATCGCTCTTTAATTTATATGTAAAAAGTATTACGGCTATATACAACATATGTATATATATACATATATACATATAGACTGTGGGAGGGGCCTTATACGATCTCGTACATCTCAATCAGTATCGGAGACGTTTTATCGGTTCCACGCGTGCGTCTAGGCTTGGGCCTTATCTTCACGACCGGTCGGACGAGTCCGCGATGGTATCTAAAAGTGCGCGCTGTGTATTATACGATCGACGTTCGATCGTCGATCGATCTTCGAACCATTACCGGTGAGATAGAATGGGTCTCTGCGGTATTGGCTAGATCCTTATAGATCTTGGAAAAAAAAATTCGTTGGATTCTCGAGATGTAAAAAGAATATGGGATTTCGGGGC